TACAGCCACGCTTGCCTACAATAGTGCCACTAGTAATACTGTAGTGCAAAATTGCAGTAATCAGCAGCGAAGCAGTGGTGAAGCATGTTGTTTGAAGTATTCTTATCATATGTGAAGTATATGACATTCTAAATTGAAATATCATAACTACGCGTCAGCTACAGATAAGTGATGTCTCAATAAGGTACAAAATATCACAGTATGCTACTGAAGCTAAAACAGGAACCTGCTATGTCCTTATGTGAAGATAAAAATGGCAGCAAAGCACTAAAGGGCAAGCATTCTGTGGTGGCTGTATGCTACATAAGGAAAAGAAACCTTTAGTAGAGGAGTGTAGAGCGTCTGTAGCAGCAATTTCCAAAGTTTCAGCTCCCTCCATGCTTTCCTTCGGTCCTTGTTTTTCAAGGACGTCAGGTTTTCCAGGCACTGACAGCATGAGAGTAAAAAATACAAGAAGAGAAGAAGACAACAGTCCTGGTCACTTTGTTTTCAACAGGTCATTTTAAGGAATCGAGATATCCACTTACTTTCCTTTTTACATTGTACCATATAATTATAAAAATATCTAAAATGTATGTTACCTTTTTCAATGGTTTCTTTTCATATGATCAGATGACCAAAATGTTTGATAATTCAATGTTGTAAAACTTTGCTATATAGGTTTTGTGAACAGCAAAACAAGAAATGACATCAAATAGATTTATTTCAAGTGTTTTGTTAAAAGTCTATGACAGTTTCATTGTATGCTACTCCTAGGTGTCCCTAGTGAAGTGTAAAGTATACTTTCCATATCTTGCATGATGATCTGTCAATGCAAAGTGACCAGTTATTAAATAAAAGACAGTTTTGTCAACCAATGAAGGTACATGTAAGGGTGTAGTATAATATCAAGAATAGTGGAAGGCAATAACATCTTTGTATCTAACTCAGTGAACATTGAAAAGAAGATGCCATCCATGTAATCATATTGTAGTAGTGCAGTCAGCTTTTCAGCACCAAGGTCAGTGACGCATCCATTCAACTTACCACTGTTGTACAGTAATTGTCTAACGGTCCCCGAAGTCTGGAATTCCAGAAAAGTCCAGAACAAAGGGACACTGATCTTTATATAACAAGATGAAAATGCTATGATGGTGTAGTAACTGAATACCACTGAGAAGTTTTATAATTACATTATAATTTATCTCAAGCAATATTCTTACAATTAACTGGTATATGATATGAAGCAAGAAAATCAAATTGTTGCTAGTAAATATGAAACAAGCCAGGAAATGTCACAGTTATAAATGTAATATGGCTTCTCAATAACACATTATCATGTATCCAGTATCACTATCATATAGTGTAGTGTCTAATATTGCACTACGCATCTATATGAAACAGTTTATTATATCCCCCTATAGTGAGTTTTGCTTTATGAATCACTTCATTGCCACCTATGTGAGGATATTGTAATTATTCGAGCTGAAACCCACAGAGAGTTACCCTACAGGTACATTGGCACCATTGGGGTGATAAACATGCAGAGCAATGCCGTTTCTTTAATCAAACTTCAATTGCCTTCAAGCTCCTCAAGGGACAGCTTGAATGTGTTATTTGATATGGGCCTTGCATATTGAGATGTTTTTACACTTTTGGCAATAAGGTATCTGATGTTTTCTTTGATTGATAATAAAATTAATCATGTTCTAAATTCCAATGGAGACTATTAGTATTACAAAGTGCTACAAGAACATTCTAGAATTTTTTAGGTATGTAAAGTTTTAGGTACATGTACTGTACATGTGTATCACTTTGAAGACCTGTAAAGGCTAGGGTTGTCTAGAATTTGATGTAACACAGAATAGACCATTTCCCTACATGTGTAGCTCAATTCTTTTTATGGGGGTTAAACACCATAGCATTCCTATTTGAAATTTATTTCTGTTGGCAGAAAGCATTATCAAGCTCACTGTTGATGGGATTTTATTCATGGAAAGTCACAGGAATTTCAAATGGACCAATGTTTTGCTCCTGTAGGTCTAACAACTGCTTGTAATACATAATTGTAATGTAACAAAACCTACAATGTATGCAGGAGTGAAAGAAACCAAAATGCCCCCCTTAGTTGACAAATATTTCTAGAAGCTATTTTACCATTGGCTATACACCTGTTATTAGTTTGCTACATTTGTAAGTTACTTATAATTTTCTAATTTTCATTACAACAATTTACAATATTAGCAGTGGTAAATACCCACCAACTTGATGTTTAGGCCACACCAATTTAATTTGTTGGTTCTCGGATTTTTTCAGAAAAAATATGAAGCGACAGGGCGAAAAAAAATAAAACAGGTCTAGGCATCCTATTATAGCCCCAAATGCTACAATATGAGCCATGAAGTCAACAAAAAAGGCTGGGACTTTTAATCAAACCACTGCATTGATAGATGGAAAAAATTGTAACAACTAGGAAGAAAAAGGAATTTCCTCAACTGTTGGGGGCAAAATATTAGCATTTTTTAGTTGATTCAGAACCAGAATCTTTTTTTTTTTTGCAAATCAGAAAAAAAAGAAGAGGCGATCCGAGAACCAACAAATTAAATTGGTGTGGCCTTAGTAGCAAAAGTGGTGATAGGTGATAGTAACAAAATAGTTTTTTTTTTTAAACCACACCAGTCCTGGAGGAAGCTTGCTATCTGCAGTTATTCAAATTACATGTATAACTGCATATCAAGGAACTAGCCATGGATTTTCTCATTGTCATTTGAGTGAATTAAATCAGAAAAGGTGAAAATTTCAGTGGAATCTATCATTCCCAGACAGTGGAAAACTGGCTGCAGATTTTATTGCCAGTTACCCTGACATAACACGGCGGTCTGTCACTACGGTATTCTTTCCCATTGCTGGGGGGGTTTGAAAACGTATCGGGTTACAAGACGCAAGTTTGGCCTGTTTTGGACTGCCCGTAAAACACTTGAAAACAAATAGTATTGAAGGGTAAATTCCGTCAAAATAAAATGAAATTGTGGTCTTTACATAGGTTTAGTGTTAGTTGTTTACGTTAAATTACTACTTTTTAAAAATCTCGCTCCGAAAGACGATTTTTTTCAGGATTTGGAGCGACAGTCCGAGACAGTCCGAGTCATGTTTTTAGGCAAACTCCGTTTAAGATTGGCTACGTATATTACCCAAAATCCCCGATTTTTATATTTTTCGACGACTAGGAATAAGATAAAAAATCGTGTCTTAGGAATTTTTTAATTTCTGGTTTTAAGTATAGTTTTTGTCGACGTAAATGTGAAAAAACTACTGTAGGTGGGGAGATCGGGGCCCAATTTTGACCACCGCGTAATTCCATAAAAAAATATATTGCTTCAGCAAAATTGTTCCCTCAGACCACGACAATGAAACCTTCCTTGTAAAATTTGTGAACTTGAAAGGTGAATGGTGTACTTTATTAAGTGACACCACTATTCCATAAAAAGAGAGGGTTTAGTACCAATCTAAAAAATAATAAATCAATATGTTAGAAGTTTGCAGTTACAAAGATTGAGAAACAGTTATTGCTATCTCAGTATTGATGCCATGTAATTAAGTTTTCAAGGCTTCAAACCTCATTTGGATTCTCTTTGGGACTTCCCTTCCAATTGTGATTGTTGTAATTTAATAAAAATCTATTTCATGGGACTTAAATGTTGTCATGTATTACATCACATCAAGAAACATGGCAACAATATGTATAAGATAGAGGCACAAATATTTGTTAATGTAAATAGACTGCTGTAATGTATCTTAAACAAGTCCGTTTTCACATATCATAGACCACCACAGGAGCAAGAGACTGACAAAAACATGACATCAGCCGTCTAGTAATTGGTTTTCAAGATGGCTGCTCATTTGCATGAAGGCCAGACAGTATAGGCAAGGATGGAAGTATCTGGAACATTTGCCAAGCACAAAAACTATCAAACCTTCAGGCATAAAAGCATTGCAGTTAACGCCTTTATCAATTCAGCTGAATTTCAACACTTCATAAGCTAACCAAATGCCCGTTAGGATGTCAATTTACACATAGAATCATCCGAGAAAAATTATGTACAAAAATGGCAATATAATGAGGAGCGGTAGACAGTAAAGGTGTACCCCTTAATAACACGCCTATTCGGATGGGAATCACATCAAATGATATGTAACCTACTTACCGACGGAATCCAAGCTTCCAAATTACAATATGACGGAATGTGCTGCCGCTAGACGGGAATACTCCTGTGGATATGAAGGTGGGGCTTGATGGGAACGCTAACTGGAAGATGATAGAGTGGACTAGCTGTCTACACTCTCACCGTGTGAAGTCTACTGCGCAGTTCTCAACGTTGGTCAAAACGATACGCTACAACCAGACGCAATCAGTCAAAAGATAAGACTTAGGTACATGACTTCATCCCACTGGCAATGTGTGGATCGTAGATAAGTTCAATGTCTCTTAATGGCGAATATATGAAAGGGAATGCCTCATGCATGATGCAACGGCATGTTAAAAACAAGAAGGTTACCTACCGATAGCAGAAGTGGGCCAAACGGGCTTTCCGATTTCAGCCGCTATTTGCCGACGACAAACAGGCCGCACATATGTCAGACGAGTATGGGTAATCAGACTGAACTCATTTGTCCACCCAAAATTGCAGCAGTGAAAATCTCTTCCATTGGTTGCTTGCAGAGGGCTTAGCACACCAGCAATTCAATTATATGCACTAGAGTAGTGTAAGGGAGCTTTGTAACAAGCAGAAGGCAGTAGATGGAGCCATATGGGACACTCTAAATATTTCCAACCTCAAAAACCCGGGGACGTCTAGCTATTACCATTCCAGCATAACAGCTGAATATTGTGGTTACGTACATGTATATGTATGTACTATGAGCGAAATGACCTACATTTGTGCTACCCAGAAGATATGCATTAAAAAAACAACCTGTCACGGGACCACATTCATTTTTGATGTTCGCAAGTAGAATATAGGGCAGATGGTTCGATCTAACATAATCCTATGCAATGTCATGGTTGGGTTGAAGTACGTAGGATCAAAACTTGCTATCCAAAGGTTACAAAATAAAAAGTAAAAAAAAAATCACGATTATTAGGTGAAAGCCTGCAATACCACCAAGTGATACAAATTTTAGTCCATCAAAAACCAACTCTATCTAGTTTTATTTCAAAAGCAAGAAATTCAGCAGAAAAAACTACCCAGCACCATAAATCTAAATAAAGTCTCGTGTTCTATGGCCGAGACATATGAACTAGACTAAAAATCAATAATATTAGTCCAAGATTTGATTTATTGTGATTGAAACCAAAACTACCGTAACGTTACTTTCATAAAAATGAAAACCCGAGACATAGCCAGCATATCCCAAAATGTAAAAATAACAAATTCCATTAAAAGTCC